CTTTCCCTCCACGAACAGGAAGGGCAGAGACAAAGGCCATAAAGCCTCTCTCTTTTCTCTCACCCTACAAACAAATTACAAAGAATAAAAACCCAGTTTGTTTGTATACGTCCTAAACTATCAAAACGAAGATGGGATACAAAGTGTGCTTGATTGTGCTGATGGTGGTCTTGGCCATGGTGGCCCAGTCATCAGCTAAAGGGCATGAGGCCAGCTGGGGCCTCAGCTTCACCACCCACGACGACGAGTCGCTGATCGACAGAGCCAACGGCAAAGTTGGCGACATGATCGGAGAAGAAAACGAAATGATGATGGACTCAGAGAGCAGCCGTCGAACACTTAGAGGGAGTCAAGGAAGGTACATTGCGTACGGTGCCCTGAGGCGCAATGCTGTGCCATGCGGACGCCGCGGCCAGTCCTACTACAACTGCCAAAACAGGCAGAGAGCCAACCCTTACCAGCGCGGCTGCACCACCATCACCCGCTGCGCCAGACGCTGAATGTGATCGACGGTGGATGATCAATTCGGTTTATTTACAAGACCAGATCAAAGAGAAATAAATAAAAAAAGTACGTACGTACAAGGATATATAGTGAAAAGAGAATGAAAGTGGGATCAAAATCATCGATCATCATCGACATTCATGCTTTCAAGATTATATGACTTCCTCCTTTTGAATTTTTAATTACTGTGTTTGTTGAATTATTATGTGAAGTTGCTTGCTTCTGTAATCTTTGTTTTGGTTATATCTATATATCTTTATTTACTATATATGCTTGTATTGTATTTCAAGGAGGAAATAAATATACCTTGGGTACGTATGATTTCATTTCAATGAGGAATTACAACTTCTTCTTCTTCTTTTTAGTTTTATTTTCTAATGATAATGTGCTTTGGGACTAATCACATGCATGCAAATTACGTGCAATATGTGAGGCTATGCTTAGCTTAGCTACAATTAAATTAATTAGTTATTGATGCATATACATTTTTCGATTTAATTTTGCCCAAAACTCTGACCTCAGCTATGATACGAGTCTTTGATTAAATTGGCTCATGATTAATTAATAATATAGATATTTAGTGATTTACCCATTCTTAGCACTAATATAGATAAACCCTACACCATTGAATTTCTATTAACAAACCCAAAAAATGAGAGCTGGCCTTATTGAATTTAATATTGACTATTAAATTACTTTGATGCCCTATTGAGTGTTTTGGGTATTTTTATGAGATTTTGGGATTGGGCTTGTTTTAAGAAATTGATGGCAGTTTTGAAATTTATGAGAAGTTAAAAACCTCTTTGTTATGTTGTAAATGGTGTGTTTTTAAAGTCCATTTCATATAGGGTATTTTTATAATTTGAGCCTCTATATTGGATATAATAGTGAATCTCCCTTAATAATAACAAAGGCATTTTTGTCCATATGTACGTTGCCTTTTTACGACAAAACTTAAAGAAACAAAAAATTTGGGTGCTGCCCTTAAAGATGTTTTGGGCGTGGTCCAAAACCAAAATAGCCAAAAATAAAAGATTAATAACGGTATAATTAAAGAGGTCATTCCAATACATGGAAAATTATGAATTAGTAGTTTTTTACCCCCAAATTGATAGTGATTAGCGAGATGCCCACCAAATAAAATCTCTTTTGTTTAGAAAAAGAAGAGAAAAAAAAAGGTGAATTGCTATAGCTTTGACAAAACTGTGGATAAAGATAAAAGACCTTTGATGAAAAGCTCACTAAACAAAGTAGTAGTGATATGAGTATGACCAAAAAATTAGGTAGTGAGATTGGTTGATGATGTCATGCATCCAAGTATAAGCCAGGTGGCATAACGTTTAGTAGTGCTTGGCTCAATCGTAGGTTGAGGAGAAAGACTTTCATGCAACAGAATATCACTTTTTGTTATACCCCATCAATGACACAATGACCTGAAATAGCAAAACAATGTTATTCCCGTTACAAGTAAATTTTTATGCAGGTGGACAGAGCTAACATCTGACCAATTAATTTTATAATATTATATGATACCCGTCAATCTTACAATATAAAAAGAGTGAGAGTTGGGTAATTTGCAAAGGAAATTAATCTGATTTTAACATGATAGTCATCAACAAGAAAATTAGCCATATTAAATTAGGTTTAAAATAGATTAGGCTGAATCAGGAATCATGAATCATAAAAAAGATGAATGATTCTCGTTGTACATTCAACCGAACAAGACTCGTTGACTAACTAATCTACTGGCCCAAGCTTGGAGAACCTAGGTCCACAATTTTGGACCAAGTCAAACGCTATCTGATCTGATCCAATTTATTGCAAGCGTTGTTAAAGATAGAGGCGAATTCTAAAAGCATCAAAAGCAAAACTAGAAACACCTAGCGATAAGTTTACCAAAGTGTTTGTTAGATATGGGAGTGCTACTGCTATCTGATCCATTTGGGAGTACTACTGCTAAGAGCTTTTTCAGAAAGCATTTTTATGACTCATAAGCACTTATATATTTTTCTACCAAACACTATCAGAAACATTTGTTGACGGGCATGGAAACCCACGCATCATTGGTGACACTAGCAAAGACCAAATGGGTTTCCTAACAGTCCATATGGAAGGTTCAAATTCGCAATCAATCCCTCAACAACCATATGCTACCATACGGTGCAAAGAAAACAAAAAAACAAAGCACAAGAGGCCAGCCCTACCCATATTTTCTGGCTTTCCCGTCTTAATTTTCATCACTTCATCACTGCCTGTCTCTCAATCTTTCTCTTCTTTCATCATCACAAGTCCCACTACTGCCCCCTCCACTATCACTTTCTCATGCGTCCCCATGGCATTTTGCAGAGTTTTTGGTCTTTTTGTTGAGTCAAAAAGCAGACTCAAAAACCATGTTAGATTTCAACAAAGAAGAGAACCTTTGCTGATTTGCATGATTGCTTTTCACACCAATTCAAAAGGCCACGACCCACCGAGAAACTCAACCAAGTAGACGACTATAAGTCTACAAGTAGGTACCAAAATTTCAATGGGACCCAACAACCCAATGATCAACATCTCCACTCTGCAGGCAGAACAGCTTAAGATTGAGAAACACTTACACGAAACGAAACAGGGGATAGATTGACACTTAAGATGGGGCAACCATTACACACTAAGGAACTTTTTTCTGAGGATCAGCTTCTTAAGCTAGATTGATCCTAAGACTAAAAGATGCAAAGTAGGACCCATCATACATCCAAAGGTCACTTTCTCACCTATATCATGACCTATAATTATAGATCCACCATGCCTAGAGCATGAAATAGTGCTCGTAACACACTATAACAGCGGAAACTCTCGCATCTAAGTTCGATATTCTAAACTATTCTAAATTAACAATAATTATTAAGTATAAAATCCCTAAATGTCTAACAAAAACAGTAGGTGAAAGAAAAAATGCATGCATTGATGTTTTTGGTTTTTAAGAAAAAGACCCATGTAGTGAATACAACAGAATGCAGGCTGCCTTGCTTGGCATCTTTTATCTCACTGAGAAAAACAACAAAAGGGTCAAGATTCCTTGCCCATTCTTCCCCTCTTTCTTTGACAGCTATACCAAAGCTCATTTTCCCATTGACCTTCTTTTCTTCTTTTCCTTTTTTCTTTTGGACTCTCACTCCTCCTGTTCAATCTACCTACAATTACTTCTTACACTGTTATAATTAATAATAATTTATGATTTGAATTACATCTTCCTATTTACTTTCTCTATTTGGTGAAAAAATAAAAAGAGTAGACAAACCACATCTTCCTATTTACTTCTCAATTCAATTCACTCCCCATGTTGACTTTTTGACTCCCCAATTCAAATTCTAGATTTTTTTTCACCCCTGTCAATCGCAATTGGCCTAGTAGAGGAAATTGGAAATTTTCTTTTCTCTCCTCCCCTCAACTTTCTCAGCAACCAAACATGGGAAATGAGTTAAAAGCAAAATTAAAAGGAGAGGCATACATGAAATTTTACATTCTGATTAAGGACTCTCTCATTCTCTGCAAATATTCCATTACAATTTATGTTCCTCAATCCTCAGCGTCGTCATCACGATCAATGTCAACAATAAAATATTAAAATTACACAAAACTAAAAAATTTAGAGTTGGTTTGATTCAAGAAGAAGATGAACCTGAAGCTCTAGGCGACGTCGTAGGGAACAAAGGCAACAGTCGGGGCTCCGATTCCCTCGGGGTCGTGCTCGGTGACGGGTGCAAGTAAAAACCCTTTTCTTTAATGGCTTTCTCTTCAGCCTCCTTGTTTAAATGGGCACACCCATTGGGATTCGACCAGTAATTGGCCGACCCGGACCGGTCAAACGGGTCGGGTATGAGCGGCGTGACCGGGCTGAGAACTAAAGCCGGGAAATCGAGAATGCTCGGAGATAAAATCTCAGGGTTTCGGGGAGAGAAGCCGGAGGCGTTGGAACTGAAGACGGGGATTAGGGGGTTAATTCTGAGGTTCTTGAGTGAGTTTCGGCGCTCGTAGAGCTTGAACCCGGATTGTTGCTTTTTGGGCGTGGATTTGATGGGTGGTATGTGGGTTTTGTTATGCGGGTCTGGGCAGGTGTTGGCGGGTTTTGAAGAGGCCTGCTTGGCGGTTTCGGAGGATCCAGTTAGCATTTGGACGACTTGTTTGAAGGAGTTGGTGTCGGCTTGGACGAAGGTGGTCGGGTAAGGGTTGGCGGATTCGGATCTGGTGATGGGTTTTGGGGGTTGAGGAGTTGGAGTTGTTGGTGGAGCTTGAAGTCCATTGTTGTTGCTGTGGGTGCTACTTGTGCTGCTGTTGGAGCTGTGGCTGTTTGGAGAAGGAAGCAGAGAAGGGTTTGGGTTCTCTTGTTGGTGTCTTGGCGAGGATTCCATTGATGATGATGGTTCTGATTTCTCGCACTGTTTGGTTGCCGAGCAAGTTGAAGGAAGGAGAGAAAATAAGAGGAGGAGGAGGAGGGGAGGGGTGGGGAGGGGGGAGGGAGGAGAGAGACGTCGGTGGAGTTAGTGATATATATATATATATATAGATAGATATATACACTCCTAATTAATTTTTAATTCACTCACTAACTGTGCTCATTAATGTAATAAATTGAGGTCAAGATATTTAATATGGTAATGGGGTTGCTTTTTCCACAGATGTTATCATTATTCAAGATATCTTTCTAGAACACTGTGGACATGAATTTAAATTTGTAAATTTTATTACATCCAGCATTTTTAATGAGTATTTAACTTCTTTTTGTTACATACAAATACACAGAGGAACAATTAGTTACGCGATGAGTCTTGTAGATACAATTGTTTCATCCGTCCGTTACAGTCCCGTATGAAGTCGCTTCTCTTACCATATTAACAAGAATTGTTATTCATAAACGATACAAGCGGGGTCGTTTGATATGTTTTCTAGGTTTGTAACCACGAATCGACGATGAGATGGAAGTTGAATAACAAGTGAGCAAAAAAAGTCAAAAAGAAAAGAAAAATAATCTGAACACATGTTGACATGACAGAAGCAAAGAAATCAGAACACGCATGGCATAAAAAGCACGGAGCCAGCAGCAGCAAAAGGAGAACTACAAATATGCACTCAGAAAACGGGTGGGCGTGAGTTAATGGCAACACCGACTGGTTTAATGGCATTGGTGAGGTTTCGACCTCACCGGTTAACTTAATGGGTGATTTTGTGTCAACTTGTTCATTCAACTGATCGTTTTGTCTTAACCTGTTAACTTAATATGTTGTCTGATCAACTTCAAAACGAAACGAATGACCCGCTTGCCAGGTCCAGCTGTGAAAGATAACGAATGTGTAAAGAAATCATCCAAAAAAAAAAGGTTCAAAGTTGTCATTGACTTGCAAAAAAAGCTACCCTTACTTACTAGTGTGCTAACATTTAACATATTAATTAGTCAAATGCTTTGTTTGGGAGGTGGTGCTGGTGCACTTGATCTGCACAAAGCCAAACTCATTTGTAATCCAGGATTAAGTAAATTAACAAAATTATCTTTAGATGCAAACTAGGTCCAACCTCTGCCTCGTTGAATTACGACTTTACCCTCAACTTTGTTGCAATGGTTCCGAGTTTGGCCCTGGCTGGTTCATGACCCCTATAAAATGTCATCATCTGCAGTCTGCACAATGTGTTTGTCATATGCCAATTACACAGTACATGACAGTACAACAGTACCCCGACCCAACATGACCCGGACCCATTGATTTTCTTATTTCACATTCTCTCTCTCTCTCAGGGTCATTTACTCTCTCTCTCTGTGTGCTTAATAAGCTTTTAACAAGCCCTTTGATATTTTTCATACAACTTGGGGTTTCGTTAATGAAATCCCATTAAACCAGACTCTTACCCTTTTGCCCTTTGTGGGAGAGTAGAAGGGAAAAAGACATTTTGATACGTCTTGTTTGTTCTCGCAGGGAATAACAAGAAGAACTCTCATCAAGCAATTCTAAATATCTTTTTTCTTTTTTTTATGTTTGGTCATCTCACTTTTGGAGTTATATGAAAGAAGTCAATGACCAACAACAAGCGTTGGTGTCCTCTAGTATTCTATATTCTAAAGATGCATAAAGAAACTCTAACTTGAGCATTTTATACAGTGATGAATTAGATGAAAAGATTTATATGCAACAGTTTCATACACTTTTTATTCACACGAAATATGACGTGATGAGAGAAACAGAGAAAAAGATTACGAATCCGGAGTAGGTAAGTTTATGTGCATCGCTAGACATGAGGAATTATATCTGCGATTGAAGTTGCTAGCTAATGGAGATTTGGAATCAGAATTTTGAACCTCCTATAAATTTGGGCGGGTGAGATGAGATGAGAGTTTCCAATCTCCTTTAGCACATGTCAAACATTGAAGTCGATACTTAATGACAGGATCCCAATAGGCAAAAGTGAAAATGAGAGATGAATCCTATTCTCATTTATATGAACTAAAAGCTTAAGCTACTTGTACTGTGAGAGGTTCAAACAAAGGGACCACGCTCTCTGCTATATCAGTCACTTCTACCAAGAGCCTTATCCTGTTATCAAATGCAGGCTTGAAATGTTTGGATTTTTTTATAATTATTTTAGGCCCTTCCTTCGTCTTCGAGAAGAACTTGCATATCACGAGATAATAAATTAGTGCTATCCCGGTGATATATAAATTTCTCTCCTTTCTCTTCTATGGTGTTGTGTGGGGAATTTTTTAGAGCAAACAGACATGAACATTTCGATTCTTGTCCTGATTTGGCCTATACCAATCCCAATTTATGAGTGAAAATTGTAGATGCAACCACTGAGCACGTTTAGAAATTCTATTAGTTGGAATGCAGTGCAGACATTTTTTTAATTTTCTTTTACATCACAACATTTCTGCATGCAACATACTTGCGGAAGTCAGATTCGAATGCCATCACAAGCCACAACTTTGATTGTGACAGAAGCTGAAATCCAGTGCGTATTTCACATGCATGAAAAGGGCACTCTGTAAACTTGCTTGTCTTGGGACTGCCAAGCTTGGCTTGGGTAGCCTTTTCAATTATTTGGCAGCCCAACATATAAACACTTTCTTCAATGATTGAAGACATGAACTGCATAAGTTACATCTTCTAAGGGGTGGGTGCCCTACTTACCTGAGGATTTAGAGGACATGCAGCATGCTTAATTTGACTTCTCACAATAATAAAGGGATCGTGGTCACCGACTTGATTTAGCATTTATTATATAACCAATCATTTTAATGCCCCGCATAAATTATCTCGATACGATATCCAATATGCACCTTCCAAACAAGGAATTAGAAATCGTTCATTCACTCCATACCATTACCTTACACAAAATTGTAGAAGTAAATTGGGCTGATGGCCAAATAAAGATATGGGCTGGGCTAATTATTTAAGCTTTATGTACATGGCTTCAGAAGGCCTGCGCTTATCCTGTTTGTTCTCTCGGTTTGCTTAGACGGCCTAATAACATTTTTGATTCTTGTAGCTATATATCCATTTTCCACTATAGTCAGTTTTTTTTTTTTTTTGGGTCTGAAAGAGATTGTTGTATTAAAAGAGCCCAAAACGGGAAGCAAATACAACACAGCTGGCCGAACCAGCAAGAACACAGAACAGAAGCAAAATACAATAAGGGTTAGACAAATCTAAAGCTCCGTCGGAGTTTAGTAAACTGTCTCAAGCCCAACCAAAAAACAGAAAAGAAATCTAGTTCAAGAGAGATGACCCAACTGGGGGGCAGGGCAAACCATCAGAGTTCAGGACCCCAACAAGAGACAATGGTGGTCGGATGACCCAACTTTGCAGTTCCATAGCTCTCAAACCTATCGTCGCAGACATGTGAGCTGCACGATTTGCTGATCTTGGCACCCACTTCCACCGCATCTCATTGAAATGTTGAGAAAGGCTACAAATTTCGTCAAGAATTGGAAGGATGGTCCAAGAATAGTTTCCGTGATTCCCAAGAATACTATCCACAAAAACTTTGCTGTCAGATTCAAACACCACCTTGGAGAAATCTCTAGTGATTGCATAAGAGACTGCATAGAGCGCAGCAGCAGCTTCTGCAACAAGAGCAGAATTACAGGAGATTGGAGAAGCAGTTCCACCCCTCCAAGTACCACAATCATCACGAGCAATAACCCCAATACTGCCATGAGATGTACCGGGAGACCAGGCCCCATCAAAATTGATTTTGATTGCATTAGCAGGTGGAGGGAGCCATCTGTCCCTGCCAACATAAGGGGAGGAGGGGGAAGTTCTTGAACCAGAAAGCCTAGAGAAGCAGGTGTTGGCCTCCCAGAATTCACTGTAAGAGTCATTGGCCCGCTTAATAACCAGCCTTGGGTCGGGATTGGTGCCTTTAAAAACAAAATCACAACGAGCTTTCCAAATTTCCCAGCACAAGAAACTAAGAAGAGAAAAGCGATGCAAGAAATCCTCATGGGGAGTATCCGGAATTGATAACATATCATGCAGCCACCGGTCCAAAGTCGTAAAGGCATTGGGGATAATCCTGTAAGAGAAGACAGAGCCAAACCAAACTGGATGTGTCCAAGGACATAAAAAGAGGATATGTTCAACAGATTCTTCAAAGCAGTTGCATATTGGGCAGAGAGGATTGGTTACAAGTTTCCTTCTAAATAAGGCCAACCTAGAGGATATAGCACCAGAGATTGCTCGCCATAGGAAGTGCTTGATTTTAGGAAGGGTCTTGATATTCCATATTACCTTCCAAACTTTTGCATCCACAGAATGGGAGGAATAAGTGTGTTGGAGGAGGGGGCCATTTTTACTGGTATGAAAACGATGGTAACCAGATCTAACTGAAAAAGAGCCGTCTGGGTTCCAGGGCCATACCAGTCGGTCAGGTCTTGGGGATAAACTGATAGGTGTGCTTCTGATAAGATTAATAGTCTCCCTGTCCAGACAATCAGCAATAAGATCCAAATTCCAAGAATGGTTCGGTTTGTCCATAATTTCACATACAAGTTGGGGAGCAGTAATTGGAACGGGGCAGGTTGGTTTAATAACTCCTGAGTTTGAAGCAGATATCCAATTATCCTTCCAAATATTGGTTGTAGCACCATTGAAAATTTGGAATTTGGCTTCCATTAACAAGGCATCTCGACCCTCAATTAAACTGGCCCATGCCCAAGATGACCTCGAACCCTTTTTTGCCTGCAAGAAGTTACAATGGGGGAAGTATCTAGCTTGGAGAATTTGAGCCCAGATTGATTGGGGATTTTGAACAATTCTCCATGCTTGTTTAGCTAAGAGAGCAAGATTAAAGCTAGAAAGATCCCGGAAGCCTAAGCCACCTGACTTCTTAGAAACACCCAGTTTTTTCCAAGATTTCCAGTGAAGACCATTACCCTCAGTTGAGTTTCCCCACCAAAAGTTCGCCAAGTCCGAGTTGATTTCATTGCAAGTTCCTTCCGGAAAGCGGAAGCAAGTCATTGGATAGGCGGGAATAGCAGTTT